TCCAGCGTTCGTCTCATTATTTCATCGATCACAAAGTTAAAAAGGAAGGGAGAGAGTGGGCATCCCTGACGGACACCGCTTTGTGTGCGGAAACTTTTGGAGAGCTCTCCGTACACTCTCCACGTCCGGAAGTCTGAGAATACAAAGAACGTATTATGTTTACAAACTTCCGGGCATTCCTTGGTGGGCAAGCGTCTCAAGAAGAACAGACCGATCAACCGAGTCGAATGCGCCTCCGAAATCCAGGAATACTAGAATTGTGGGTCGCTTATACGTATGGCGTTGTTCTAGCACCTGACGCAGTGTGAAGATTTGGTCAACACAACCCCTACCAGGCCGGAATCCCGCTAGCTGCTCTCCAGTCATTATCTTACGAGCCACCGTAAGGCGACGAAGCACAATTGACGCCAACGGTCTCGTTACAACCGGGGTCAAGCTGATCCCCCTGTGGTTACCACACTCACTACGCGCCCCTTCTTTTGAAAACGGGCACTATCACCGATTCTCCCCAGTTGTCTGGGACAGACTCCTTTTCCCAAATGCAAGCAAACAGATCGGACAAGCGCTGACTCAGGACTTCACCCCCGTCCTTGAACAGTGCGGGTGGAAGGTCATCCGTCACGAAGAGACTGGACCTTACCGTGGTGTGACGGTTTGCGATCCATTGAGCTATACTGGAGAGCGTCCCGCGACACTCACAGAGTCTCTCATACCAGGTTGGTCAATGGTTAGAGGTCTGACGAACACAGTCTCCTGGCCCTCCAGGTTGGGGGTTGGAACATGTGGCGACTTGTTCCGTAGAAATGGTAATGCATTTGCATTTCCCGCCAAACACCGCTGCCTTGCGGTTAGGCTTTTGAGCCAAAGGCTTTGATTGAGGACCCTAATCGTCTGTCTGTCTAGGTGTGGGCGCCCTGGCAGTATCCCAGCCCACGTACAACCATGAACTGCACATACACCGCAACATGGTTCTCGAACATAAAACTTCCACGTACAACCATGAACTGCACATACACCGCAACATGGTTCTCGAAGCGTCATAAAACTTATCTTTTACGTCATATATATAGACGGTCAGACGTAAGCAGACATCAAAAACAGACAAGGATATAATTCCCGCTTGTGAGACTCGTTCGCATACATCCTTTGGTTTAAAAGTGCCATGTTTTCGGTCATGGTTGGATAGTGGATTTTATCATACACTGTCCCCTAATTCGAGTTATCTGATAATCGCGAAAAATCACTCCCTTGGAGAAGCCATTATCATGTGCCGGATACTGACCAGCCTTCTCATCACTCACAGTACAAATGACACTAGGGTGACCAGTTTTTGACTAACCACATTCGTAACATGTTTCTGTCAGTCATTTTTTCCTCGATAACGGTCGCTCTCAGTCCTCAAAACGTTAGGGATTTTCAATTCACATTTCACATATCCGCTGTACCGTCACCAACATTTCTACCACGAAGATGGGAATTGTCACTCTTTTCACTCACTCGGCTTTGTGCACTCGGCAGCTAAAGCTTACGGCACCGAGCAACGGTCGGTGTAGCATGAAGTCACTTGCATTTGGGTAATTCACAGTTATCTGCGGCCCAACGCGCCCAGAAAAACTAGAAATGAGGAAAATTGGAAACACTATAAAAACCTTTGGCTCAAAAGCCTGATCCAATGGTAGTGGTACTTGTCGTAAGGCTACTAAAATAGCCCAACTGTTCAGGAACAGGTTACTACACAAGTTTCAACTCCCAAATTAGATGGTCAGTAAGCCGTTAGTCTGATCTCTACCCACTGGTGTGAGACCGGTTGCACCACACGAGAAACCGCCAGTGAGGCCCAGTGGATGACTGGATAGGTCACACTAGGATAAGGACCGGTCTTGTCAATAGTGCTGAAATTTAAATCTGGTGTGCTATCCTGAATAGCACATCAGATTTTTTTTGTCCACAATAGTGTGCGAAGAATGACAGTGACAGGCGGGAAGTGGATTGTTCTGTTTGCGCGTCATTAATTCTGGACGGACTAGAAATGCACAAAAAAGGCTACGATGCACGATAAAACTCAGTACTAAAAATGTGCACGTATAACCTAACCTAGAGAACACTGGTAAAATATGAGTGGTCCGTAACCTGTGATAAACCGGAAACAGTCAGGCAGTCGCAATAAAAACAAGTAATCAACTTGCCTCGTTCAGCACAGAATCGGCACCAATGATGTAATCGGAATGAGGAATAAGACCGGCTTGCTGTGCTGGAGAGTTGGGCTCAACCTCCAGCACGTGCCACACATTTTCATTCGCACCATCGAAAGAGCAGTAGCGGATACTCACACCTAAAAGACCCTGACCGCCCCATGCCGTGTTTGGAGTCAGGTACACTTCTCGGCAAGTCTGAGTCTTGCTTGAGTAAACGACGCAGCGCACCGGTTTATCTTTGTGGTTTTGGAGGATTTCCTTTACAGTATCATTATCTTCTTCCTGTTGGGCAGATGGAGAAATGACACAGAATATACAGTAAAAATCTCCGAATAAGACACTAAACAATCGGGTTGTGACCGATTCTTGTGAAATGAATGTGAGGCTGACAACGGATGTGTGAAGACAAGTAACTGAAATATCAGAAGTATGTAAGTGACCAACCTCCCAGAACCATCCGGGAAAAGTAAGCAAAAAAATCCACTAACGCTTTGGTATCACATCTGGTCATTTTGAGGCGAATTCTCTTCCGGAGGATGACAAAAGAATATTAGTAATATTATCCAATGATTGTTAGAATAATGATAAATCTTCGTCCCATAAGACGGAGAATACCGGCATCAAAAGAATTCTTATTTGATGAAACCCCAGAACAGAAGAAACCTAATCACCCTCACCGCCCGATATATTCGTCTTCACGTTATTCGCGACATCATTAAACGAACAGTCCCTACTAGACAGATAATAAGCGAAAAGACTCTACATCTTAATTGACACTCGAAAAGACGGGTGCAGTTGTGATTTAAAGACAGATCCGACGGCTTTAGGTGCTTTCAGCCCCCCTGCTGCAGCCAACTGGACCCCAAAACGGGTGCATTTGGTCTAGAAACGGTAAACTGACAACACTTTGTAGCATAGGGCACAGGCGTAATTCGGTAACATTTACCTACTTGTGTGTGACAAGTAACAATTTCGATGCGCCACTGAAAAAAGGCGACATTTGCCATACACTTGATCGTTTGTTCGTGTTCGGTGAAATCAAAGAAACCTCAAAGAAATCACAGAAATATCAAGCATCTGGTCAAGCAACGCTCTTAAAGGTAAGAAGGCTGGCAAAATAATTCGGCAAATGTCCTGCTGCGTAACTCCCAGGGAGCTAGATACCCAAGCCTACATAGGACCTTAATCGCACCTGTACGAGACCTCTGATGCTTGACTGTATCTGCTAAACTCTCCCACTTTCTGGTGATCGAAACGTAGCAGCTGGAATCAATGTAGTGTGCTACTTGGTTTATAGCTGACAAACTGAACTTGTAGGACGTGACGGTTGCATAACCGGAGGAGTGAAGAAGGGAATAAGTATTACTAATACTATCATAGAACTACCACAGTTATCCTAAGGTGGTTCTTGCGTCCCAGAAGCGCTGCTTTCTCCTTTTTATGCATCTTTGGAACCCTTGACGAGTAGTTAAACTCTGACGGCATTACAGACTTGAATGAATTGCTAGTTTACAATGCTATCATAGTGAATGTACTGCATAAACACTGCCCCGTGTTCCAGTCGGGACGACATTCAAGATATCAAAAGATTTCTTTTAAGGTAACAGTACTTATAAAGTTGGTGGAAAGTATGAAAAAAGCCCACCCCAACTTCACCACTTTCAGAGTTCCTCAGGCGAGACTGGCTCTCAAATTTCCTGGAATTGCTGCCAAACCGGACACACCTGACGTTGCGCAAGCAATTGCAACCAGACTACACTATCTGTTGGTGAATGGTGTGAGTTTCAAAGTTAGAGAGCACACCACTTAGGGCATCAACACTAGTATAATGACAGCACAGTGCTTATGGAAGACAAAGTGCTGTTTGGTTTTCTGAGTGATATGTTTCTCAAAAACAGGGAGAAAAAGAAGAACAAGAGTTCAGCTGGGTGCCGCCAACAGCGAAGGTTCACTGGAGGACACTTGAGCAACTATAGGCAACAATGACCGCCCTGATCCAATAACAAAAAACGTCCAGAACGAGGAAGCACGACGGCTAGTATAGTGGCAGCTTGCCCAACAGGGGAAATCGAAATGCAGATGTCGGGCCGAACCAGGACCGCCCTGATCCAATAACAAAAAACGTCCAGAACGAGGAAGCACGACGGCTAGTATAGTGGCAGCTTGCCCAACAGGGGAAATCGAAATGCAGATGTCGGGTCCGAACCAGGGACCTTCCGGTCAGTAAATTCGCGCTCCAACCACAGAACCATCCCAGTAAGGGCTACCTTATCTGTGCAGGTAGCAATAATCACGGCGCCAGAAGCTTCCATCCTAGGCCGTTGGAACGCCGAGAGTGATTCGAGTAATTTCCGAACCTCTGTTGATGTGAAGTCTGCACTTCTACCTGAAACTAAGGAAGCTTCGATACCCTTTTTACCAAGTGCACTTTTGGCGAAAGTAATCGAGGAAACGCAAGGAAACCAGATGGCCAGTGATAGCCACACATCTCAGCTGAATGACATGGATGGACGACCAGTATTGGAGGTGTTTCACGCGAGAGAAAGTCAGTATTGAAAATACATTAGCCGAAACCCTGAAAAATTAGCACCGGCGTCAACCTAAAACAGCGTTATACTCGGGTCGCCAGTCATTCCTCAGTAGGCGATATGATAGGAAGCTGATAAGTTCCCACCATAATCGTCAGCATCCTAACACACAAAAGCCACACCAGAAGCAAGGGACAGAAAAACCGTAGCACTCTAGCTCCCCTCTCCAATTCAGTAGCCATGGTCGTCGAATCTCCAGATAACTGTGAAACAAAAAGCGGAGCCAGCTGACTCAATCAGAGACGATAACGCTGCAAGGCAAGTTTCTGATACTCCGACTCGGCCTGCCTCACAGCTACACTCGCTTTTCTAGTTATGAGCTACTGCAGGACTCGTATCTCACGAATTGCCGCGCGAGCTAAACATACTTGTCGAGCAACACATGCTGTGCGTGCTGATCAAAAATGAGCGAACGGAATTTATTTAAACTAACACAGTGCCCATTAACAATCATGCAAGGTGCAGACTGAACTTCGTTGGGCCCGAATATCAGCGCATCAAGAATACACAAAACGAATTCCAATGTCTCTCGGAACCACCAGTTATCAACATTTCAGATGTTTTCCAATTTAAATGCAGCACCAATGCTAACTACCGTGAATACCATCTCAGAAATGTTAGGAACCAAAGTCGTCATTTAGTGGTGAAGGTTCCCTTTATTATTATTATTATTGTCAACCACTGTACGACGAGTACGCGGTCATTACATCTGACCATGGTGATGATGATGATTATTGTCATTATCTAAAGCATGACATCAGTGTTCAGCACCGATGCTTCACTGCCGTAAGGTTCTCTTAAAATCGATATCGTACGACCCAATTCGCTAAAAACCGTTATAACACCTCGTTGACCAACTAGCAGAGTTGTATGAGAAACCGTTGTCATCATTTGCCGCCCTCAGCCACTTGCATAACTCCTGCACCCAAAGGAGGAAATCAAGTCCATTAACTTACTCCTACTTGCCAGTAGCGATTGCGCCGAAAACGTCGAAAAATGAAGTCTACCGAACCCATCCGATGCCTCCCCCACCCACCTCACTTCAGAGCGTGAATGAACACAGTACAGATATCGTCTATGGAAGCATTCGGCCATCTTCGACACTTGATTTTCTAACTTCGTTCAGCTGTACCACTCTTTCGGTGCAAAGCAGCCATGCCACTTGAAGGAAGCACGATGGTCGGGATGCTGTCAACCAGGACAGGAGCAGTCGAGATGCCGGAGTTAGCTTCGAACCATAAACCTTCTGGTCAGTAAGTTCGCGACTTAACCATTGAACTATCTCGAGCACAACAACACAATAACAAACAACCGTTCAGCCGTAGCACCCTTTCAGTGCCTGACTGCCATGCCACCCGAAGGAAGCACGAGGGTTTGAATATTGTCAGGTTACCCAAGCCTAGACAGGGGGAGTCGACAGGCAGAGGTCAGGTTCGAACCACGAACCTTCTGATCAGTAAATTCGCGCTCTGGCCACTGAGCCATCTCGCCCCATAACAAACATCATCATCATCAACGACAGCATGACATCAGTGCTCAACACCAATGCTTCACTCCCGTACAACCATGACTTATTTGAAAGCCTTATTGTAGAGAAAAGAATAAAGGTGGATGGGGGAGGGACTTAGTGCTAGCTTAACACAATCACTCCGAGGTGCCTACA